TTAATAAATATGATCTTTTGGCTTTAAAAATAAACTTCTCTAACGAACCGCCACAGTGATGTAATATTCCACTTTGACACCGTTAGGAGTCCCCCTTCCGTGTCTTATATTACTTGGGGTGTATTAAGAAGGCTACACCACTTGTAACAACAAAAAAAACATAAAGCCTTTTGATCTAGAAAAAAAAGAAATAAAAGAAAAAGAAGCAAGAATACAAAAAAAAACTATAAACAGAGTTGACAAATAAATAAAAACTAGTATAAAAGAAAAATAGATTCAAATTAAAATAAAATAAATGATTTTGATATAAACTAGTAACAGCCTTTTATCAACTAGAAACTTAGAGTTTGTAAATACAAATTAGAGCTTTTGCGAAAGAAATTGCTACTATAACAGATCATACTTAAATATCTTAAAACAGCCAAATGAATCTAAAATAGTTAAAAAAAAGTACTTTATTATAATTTAGATAGTAATTTATGTAAGCTTTTTCTAAATAAAATGACAAACAAGATTGCCAAAAAAATAAAAAAAATAAATGAAAAGCAAGATTATCTAAGTAAAAAAAAATAAAATCTAAATCCAATCTATTAAAAAAATACAATGTGAATAATATTTATTATTTACTTGATGATGAGATGAGTTTGAGGTATTAGTTGACATATTGTATAATCGTATGGTTTTTTTTACTAACGCAAAATATCAAAAGAATATTAAGGTTATACATAGAACTCTTTGCTATTAAGTTAATAGCTTGAGCAAATAGTTACTTAAACTGTATTACATAGCGATAGACATGCCTTGTTGGCATGCCTAATTTTAACCCGTGCCCTCAACCCTACCTGTACGGGCCTGATAAAATAATTTTTTTGCCGGCTAGCATGGTCCGAAAATTAGGGTATGTTTTTAAAAATTCGGCCCGCATAATTTTTTTTGCGCAATTTGGTTTGTTACACGAGATCATAAAATTCTTTTAATAATAGTGATAGAACATAATCGTGCAGTTAGGGAATAAAAAAGTCGCTACGTAAAAAAAATTAGGCATCTAGTAACTAATTTTTTAATCAAGCTTTATTGTTATACGTATACGTATAACGACTGAATATGATGTCAATTTAGTGCTAATAAATAAATAACGATAAAACGCTAAGTTCGAGGGTGGGTAATTCTAAATCCAGCTTTTTGTATAACTTTCCATAAAGATGCAAAATTGGTTTTACAAAGGGCTGCATATCGATATATTCCAATCGTTTTTTTATACTATATCGATATATGTTCTTACAACAAAAGACGACCTTCACATAATTTTACTTGTTCATCTCGCGTTCTCATTTCAAAACTCATAATAATAGCGATTCAACAATGTTTGGCATACCTTTGAAGTATGTCAGTCTAATCGTACTTTGCGTTCAGAATAGTACGTTAGTAATCGTGATGCGTTATTCACGGATGGTTCCTGAAAGCGAACTATATTCTACTGCAACAGCAGTGCTTTTATCAGAGTTGACAAAATTTGTTATTTGTATCTATATGGCCATCCGTTCTCAAGTGATTGAAACAGGACATTGGAAGGCTTCTGATCTTTATGACCAAGTTTTTAGTTCCGACGCTTGGAAACTAATGATACCAGCAGCGTTGTACACAATCCAGAACAATTTACAGTATATTGCTGTCAGCACATTAGATGCAGCTACATTTCAGGTCACCTATCAGCTTAAAATTTTAACAACGGCGGTTTGTTCTGTGTTAATGCTCAAAACTTCATTGAGTCCACTTAAATGGTTTTCATTAGTTTTGTTGACTTGCGGTGTCGCATTAGTTCAACTAAGGATTGGGGGAAGTGATTCGTCACAACAAGATGATAAAAATGTTCAAACCAAAAAAGAAACGTTCGATGATAGCGATGCGAAAAAACTTGTGGGTCTATGCGCTGTTACAGTAGCATGTATAATTTCTGGATTGGCAGGAGTGTATTTTGAGAAGGTTCTTAAAGGTTCTCAAGCTTCTATATGGATCCGTAATCTCCAACTTTCATTCTTCTCTCTTTTTCCAGCTTTAATATTGGGTGTATGGTGGAAAGATGGATCAGATGTGTGGGAAAAGGGTTTCTTTTTTGGGTATAACCTTACAGTAGTTGGTGCTATAGCATGTCAAGCCGTGGGTGGAATTATAGTAGCCCTGGTTGTCAAATATGCCGATAATATTCTTAAGGGTTTTGCTACTTCAATTTCTATAATTATTTCTTTCATTGCCTCTGTTTATCTCTTTGATTTCCCAGTTACAGGAACTTTTTTAATTGGTTCTGTTATGGTATTAATCGCAACATATACGTATAGTAAACCTGATTTTAAACCTGATTCTCAAAAAAAAGAATATCACCCTATTGAAGAAGAGGAGGAGGTTGACTATCCCGTGAATGAAAAGATGGACACAACTAACAATGGATTCATTAAAGTTGGTGGGAAAGATTGAAATGAATATGAAAAATCATTGACCATTATAAATTGTAACAAATTCCATCATTTTTGAAATTTGCTAATTTTCACCATTTATATACAGAATTATTTTGTATAGATTGGATTTATTATTGTAGATTTAGTGAATTTCGAGCATTGGCAACTTGCCATTTTATTATATAATAATTAATTTTTGTCTAAATTATTGAGTATTTGAATTTTTTTTTTATAAAAAAATAATAATAAATATTATGCGGATGATAATCATTGATAATTTTTATTATTAAATATAGAATCAGTATTATCGTCTAATTATCAATGATCTCACCAATATAAATGATATACAGTATTAATTACATTTCATCCATGACAATATCATTCTGTCTAGGAATTGCTACACCTTCCAAAACGTTCAACACTCCTGAGCTTTTCACAAGTTCTAATTCCTCCTCACTTCGCGTAAGTAGCATTCCAGCAAACCCTAAAGAGTTCACTGAAATTTCTTTATACTTTTCATTACTCCTAGGTACGATCATGAACCATGTGTGAGTCATAACTAGATTGTAGGACAAAGGATTGTGACCTATCGAGAAAGATTGTCTGTGTAAACCTTCGATCATAGCATCAAGCAATGAATGAAATACATCATTCAGATATTGGCTCACTTCTCCGTGGTGCCCATGATGACCGCTTAATCGCTGTGGCTCGAGAAGAATTATATAATGAACATATGGTAGTTCGGGAACGTCAAAAACCTCACCTGGTAGGAAAAACGAATGATATATTTAATAAGATAATTATAAACTTATCGCAACTATTATGTAAAATATACCCGGTTTTTTAAATTCTTGAGCCCCATAAATACAAGCATTAATAGGAGGAGTAAATCGTACATCGTTTGATAAAGGAATTATTTGAATATGTTTATGTGATTGGCTTTTGTGAATAATAATGAACATATTATTAAATTTCAAATGGCATAAAGAATCATCAAAGCTGTATTGTTATCATACCTTGCACCTGAAACATCACCACAATTATAGAATGCGAGAGATGGTCGACTTTTAATATGCATCATACAATACCATACACTTTCCAGATCCTCTGGATTAAGAGGATCTGTTTGTTTTTCAAAATCTTTTACCGAAATTTGAATTAATAAAAAAATAATTCAATATTAATCGCAAAAATATTTATTATTATTAAATCACCTTTGGTGACAACTAGGATATGGCATGGAACTACACAAAACTTGTTTAATAATATAACATGTTTTCCGTGTTCTTGCACGAATAAATCTTGATTATAGGGTAAAAAAGGGTCAACTTTAGGTTTTTGTTGCTTTTCATCTCTCGCCCCCAAATTACCGGTGGGTTTCTTGGCCAAACTAGGCGAAACCCGAATTTCAAACTGCAAAATTTTAGTATCAAATATTAAACACGAGCCTCAAAAATATTATTAAAAGTCACCATACTTCAATGTCTTTTTCTCTTATGTGGGTCACTTCACTTTCTATATATTGTAGTTCACCACGTTGAAGTGCTCGGTCATATCTTTCGGCAATTCGGTCTTCGAACGACGTATTCATTCTAATTTAAATCTTATAACTACAACTACGTAATATTTCTTAATATAGATTGCGAGATTTTCTCACCGATGATCTATATATTACTAGCCAATAGCCTATTATCAAATTATAGATCTCGCACTTACTCGAAACGCTAATTCAAGACTTTAAAGATATTTTTTATATAATATCAAAAAGATCGTTCTATTTTATCTTACTATCATAACATTATCATACATTGTCAATTGGATATTCATATTAAAAGATGAAATTGCCACACTCCAGTAAACTTAATCGAGCCACAGGGCATCGCATGGCTATGTTGAGGAATATGGTCTCTTCTTTAATTGAACATGATAGAATCAAAACTACTTTAGCCAAAGCTAAAGAAGCAAGAAAACTAGCTGACAAGGTGAATAATCAGCGGGAAAAATTTAAATAAATTTGAAGGCCAATATTAGTTGACATTATACATTTTTCAAGAAATTCACTCAACAGCAATTTTGGTCGTTCTACTCTTTTATAGATGGTAACATTGTCAAAGAAGGGAGATTTTCAAGCGAAGCTTAAAACACGAGGCTTTCTTAGGGCATGTATATAAAATTGAATCTTGTAAATATCAGTTACATGTCACTAGGGATGTTAAAAGCCCGGTCCAGTCCGACTCAACTCTAAAAGTTGAGTCTTTATTAAAGTTCGGTCCCAAGTCAAACTTGGGACTTGACTCACATTTCACGTGCATTTTTTGAACATTTAAATATAGCTGAAAAGAATGTGTACTCATGTATATTTCTGCATGCGTATACATTTCTTTTTAGTACTATATTTAATATACAAGTTGCGACTTTTTTGGAGTCAACTCTAAAGACTGACTCGGTACGCATGATAAACATTATAACATAATTACAATTAAGAACAAAATAGAGTAATATTATTGGCTAGAGCTTGTCACGTGGGCACTGGACGTGATGCTAAATAATCACATGCAAGTGACTAGCAATATGTGACAAATTACTGATTCTTTTCATGTGATGATTTAGCATTACATCCAGTGCCCCTTGTGATGTTTTTTAATTATACTATTGGTATTGGTATAAGTCTAAAAAAAATAATAAACATGGACACAAGATATACGTAACGATTATCGCCATTTTCAAAAGCATATACGTGATATTGAAAACGGCGATAATATTAAAATGTCCGATGAGCAACATAAATCCTGTATATATCATGCCTAAATCCTGTTTGTTCGTGGCTGATCATCGTTTTGCTTACAGGAGCATTTTAAGACGATTCCTAAACTCTTTGGTGAAATGGCTAATCGTTATCGCGAAAGAGACGGGGGCTACACTCGAATTCACCGAATAGGCAACCGTGTTTCTGATAATGCACCCATGGCAGTTTTAGAATATGTTGACGCACCAGGTGATTTGAAATATGAGATGTTAATCAAACAACTTGCTCGAAGAGAACTTGACCCATCTCTGAAAGTTCCGACCACATTTAATGGAGAAGGTTATTCACCATTGAGAAAAAAGCGCGAATTCAAAAAATGGCTAGGCAGACTTATGGCACAGAGGAAATTCGAAAAACAAGTGGAAAAAATGCTGAAATGCAAGAAAATGTCACCTAAAGATTTAGACAGAGAAATCCTGCAGGAAATTCGTAACCTTAACATTGCTGAAGAACGCAAAGCAGATATGAGAGTTAAATACAAGTTAAGAATGAAAGGTGGCCATTTGTCTTACGAAAATATGCGCTAAAAAATTATGCTTAACTTTAACGGAAAATCCTTGGAGTTTAAATTCACGGATAAACATATCGTAAAATAATTTACATGAATGTTTTTTTTTTTTGTTAGAAAAATAAATAATAATAAACATCCATACCTGAATAAATACTAGAATGTTCCATCACTTTATATCACTTTTATTCAATTTTGTTATTATATCATCACTTTTATTCAATTTGCTATTGCCATATATTATATCATAATTTTCATTCAGTTTTAAAAATAAAATTTAGGTCCTTTTGTGATTATCTAATCTGAATAGTATGTTGGCATCAATTTTTCTATTTATGCAGGGGGGGTAGAAGATTGCAGATTTTTTATGTGAATACTTCTATAAAAAATACCACTCAAACCAAATTAGGATGGGTATAAAAGACGAAATAACTATTCTATTGCTTTCTTTGTATAGATTTTTAAATAAAAAAAAAAAAAAAGTAGTGCAACTGAGGTTAGCAGTAATCAATTCAAATTTGGACACTATTATGAACTTTTAAGATCTCATCCCAACAATTTTATTTATTTATTTAAGACGTGATATTAATAATTATAATTTTTCTTGTATCGCTTGCAATATAAAAGAGTATCAAAAAAAATTTTTTTTTTCTCGACTCTTTTACGCGTACAAAAGCGTAATGAACAATTTTAATTACAACAATTTGATAAGTTAATCATACCATTAATTAAACAAATTGGTATTGAACTGTTACTTATTGATTATGTCTCAAGTTGTTGTTGTTCCCCACATTCAGGAGAATAATTATGTATAGTCTCCCTGAGCTTCAATTTTTTCCTGAAGCGTATTAATGTACTATAAAATTAATAATAAATGCTATGTAATCAAATCTAAATAAAAAGTACTCCCATCTTTTTGGTTTCGAATAAAAGTCTCGCAGTTAGCCTCAACTATTATAGGAAACTGAACTTGACTTCTTTCGGTGAGTACATTTTTGATTTGGTTTGTTATTTGTTTATACTGATCTTTATTGGATGTTATTATGCAATATTCTAGTGATTGCACTCTTATATTAATAAATAATGTGTCAAATGCTAATTTATCTTGGAGTGCTTTTGACGTATCGTATATCGCATATATCATGTTATTTAATAATAGAAAATTGAGAGACTAACTTGTTAGAGAAAAAAAGATCCCGTCATATTACGAGCTTCCGAACACCGATCTGGGGGTTTTTTTTTATGCCCCGCTAAAACTTCAACCAACCATGACCAAGAAAAAAAAAATTTCATAGCCACCATAAAAATACTCTGAGTAGAATTCGTATAAATTTCTTTCTCATAAAATTTTCTTATCACTTTTATAAAGTAAATTGGAGTAATTACCGGTCTTCGGCTTTTTTCCCTATTCTTTCCTTAATTTTTTCCTTTTGTATCCATTTCTTTTTTCGTCTTGCCTTATTTTATTTATTTTATTTTATTATTACTGGTAATAACTTTGATAAATTCTAATGTCTACGGACCACCACCACGACGCGATTGCGAGTTTATGCGCACTTCGTTTCTTTGGAACAAATAATAGTCAAGTTCCCACTTTTAACGTGGTAACTCAATAAATTTTCTCTTTTCTTTTAGAGTTAACAAATAGCAAATATTTGTTAACATTTATGCCACGACTTTAGCCTTATATCTTGCCTATTTATTTTAAAATGTAGATGGATAACTTTTATGCTCAACTTACTCCTATGAAATTTCCTACTGCCAAAGAAGCCGCCTCATTTTGTAGGCAGCTAGCCCGAGAGTATGGCTTTACAGTGAAGCAAGAGACTAGCTCCAATAAGGTTTGTTTATTTCATTAATGTTTCTTTTAAATGAACTATCCTCACGTTGGTCAACATTATAGCTTCGCTGCGCCTGTTATAACTATTGATAAATTTTATTTTGTACTGAAATCCCATCTTATGCATTTGAATGAGTAAACACTTTAAAATCGGTTCACAAAAAAAAAAAAAAAAAAAAGTACAATGCAATTGACAATGCAATGGCAATTTTTACTTTAGAATGAACTCGTGTTGTGGTTTCCTATCTGATATCCGCACAAATCAGCACCTTTTCATGTTACACACGAATGAAAATTTTAAATATATTTATTTATTTATTTATTTACTTTTATTAATAATTTGTTTTTATTATTATGATTATTATTATTAATTATTATATCACTTAGAATGTTTATGTGTACTGTTCCAGAGAGGGTATATCTGAAAGTGTGAAAATAGGTAGAGAGACAAAAAGAAAACGCTCTTCTCTTCGTTGCGATTGTAAATGGCGAGTGGTCCTCTTTAGAAATGAACAAGGTAATCAATGGGAATTTCGAAAGTCGGTAAACCCTCAGCATTCGGAACATAATCATGACCTGACCTCTCCAGAACATATTCCTGAGCCATGGCCTCCAAATGTTCTGCAACGAATTGCCGATCTTGCAAATTCTGGTTTATCAACTGGTGACATAAGAAGTGCAATGCAATTGGAATTTCCGAATTTGTTATGGGATGAAAGGAGGTTCTATAATCGCCTAGCTGAAGAAAGGTATTATACTTTATGTAAAAATATTACTTAATTTTTATTATTAACTCTATTAACAATAATTTTTTATTATAGGAAAAAATTGAAAATAAGAGACACTGAACAACGTGTCATTGATACAATAGCTTTGGCGGCTCGTCTTGCCTCTTTGGCATGTTCCAATAGAGAATATACTGATAAAGTTCACTCTGTTCTTCATAAAGCATTTGAAGATATCTGTAGATGTGCTAAAATTGATCCTTCATCTGTCTTTAATGACAATTTATCAACTTATGGTGATATGACTGTAATAACGCCATCTACGTCATCAACTGCAGATATCATATGCACTTATCCTGCTGGCATAATAACTGTTAAAAACATTCCTGGTCAAAAAGGAAGACCTTCAAAAAAGAATTTACAACAATTACAACCTAATAAACCGATCCCACAGTCTCAATGTCAACTCGATCAAATAGATAATACAATGTCTCAAAACATATTAACTCCACCAAACGAACATTCTCCACAATTAACACAACAACAAATTAATATGTCCTTACCTCTACAAACACAAACCGAATCATCACCTCAATCAAATTATCAAAACGAACCGTTGTCTTCTCAATTACAACAGCAAAACGATTTACATTTCCGAAATGAACTAAGCTTTCCTCGACTACAAAACAAAGACTTAATGCTATCACAATTAAATGCTCAAAATGTATTAATATCTCCGCATATACAAAATTCTTCTACTTTAACACCACAAACCCAACCGCGAATGCAAATTCCCTCTCAATCGTATTTTCATTCTCAAGAACCCGTTACACGAGAGGGCATGACAGGGTTGGGTCAGTTCCCACGAGAGCCAGGAGTTGATATAAGAATTGATAAATTCCATAATATGACTGAACTTGAGACTTCTCAAAAATTTGAAATGCCTACAACTATTGATAACAATATCGATATGAAATTTAACGCCTCTTCAAGTATTGTTGACACTTCACCTTTAGTACCAACAATAAGGTCCCAAAATACAATTGGGTTTAATAATGCACCAAGACTTGAGAATACCAATACTTATGAAAATATAACCAACTTTGCAAGTATTAATTCCAGGATTGATACTCCCACACCTTATAATCAAACAGAAGTTAATAGAATTTTCACGTCTGGGATTCAACCTTACAACTCACCAACAGTAAATAGAATTTTCACGTCCGGAATTCGAGTTCCGGACCGGATGTCAATTTGCCAACCGGGTTACACATATAACCCTTATTACTCAAATCGTATTTAAGTATTTATTTTATATTTCAAATATATTCTATTAATAACTTAAGAAAATTTTTATTTTTAAGTTTTTGAAATATTAAAATTTAAAATTTAAGTTTAAAAAAATTTTATAATAAAATTTTTTTAAAATTTTTAAGATTTTATGTTTCTAAAATTTTGCTTCTATTACAAATCGAAACTTTTATAACTAAACCAAACCGCAAACAAATGTAAAATAAATTTTGTTCTTTATCATACTGCATTAAGAATTATAATTAAAAAATAAATTTATTAAAAAAAGACTTTTTAATTTTAATTAGTCTATATAAATTTATCTTTGTTTTGTTATAATTTATTTTTATTATATAATAAGGTCATGACCGTGATTCGCGTTTTTTGAACATAAAAAAAAACTTTGTATAATTTCTTTACTAATATTATTTGGTATTTTTGTTTTATTTGTTTTTTTTAATTCGATTTTTTTCAGCTGTTTTCATAAATTCTGGAACACCCGAAAAAAATGGTTCTTTCCTGAAATCTCTTCGATCCCGTCCTAAGAATCACCTAGCTTTTCAGAAATTATATCACTGTCTCCGGATCGAAGTTCTGAGAACAGTCTGAAAAATTAATTGATTCTTAGAACAAGATCGAGGAGGTTTCGGGAAAGAGCAATTTTTTAGGTGTCTCAGAATTCTTAGAATAGGATCGAGGAAATTTCGGGAAAGAACGATTCTCAGAATTCTTAGAACAGGAACGAGGAAATTTCAAGAAATTTCAGGAAAGAGACGTTTTCAGGTGTCTCGGAATTTATGAAAGCAGCTATAATTTTTTATTTTAACCACCCTATATGATTAGCCAATCGGATCACAGGATCTTGTAACAAACCCGAAAAAATATCAAACTATCTTTGGGCTTTTAAATAAAGCTTTTAGCACCTAATGTTGCATATAAATACATACTCTAACCCTAGTATAGGCCTAACCCTAACCCTAATCTCAAAAGATTGATTTATTTATATAAAAAATTTTATACTAATAGAGTAGTTAATTAACCAGAAGTTAAAATTAGTTATATTTTTTATTGGTTATTCTCGATTAATTAGTTCATAAGGGCCAATTTTTTGATTTGATTTTTAAAAATTAGAATGATAAGAATTTATAAAATTTAATTCAGATCATTTAAAGTGATATTATGTAATTGCCGGGAATAAAATATTAAAGTATAATAAAATTGAATTGTATGATTAAATTTGATTAGTTAATTGCTTTTCTTTGTTATAGATTGCTTATGAAACCTTTATAAAATTCTTATAAAACCGCTTATAAGTTGATTGTTTTATTATGCTTAGTAAACATTATATTATTATGATTTCATTATTACTTTATTTTATAATTATCAAATTCTTATTAAAAATTCTAGCCTATATATACTGATTATATTTTTCTTGAAAACCTATTACAAAAATATACTCTGGATTAGTTTGCTTGATTATACTATATATAGTATAGTAATAGCAATAGTTATGATAATTTTTAAATAGATTTAGTACAAATTTTAGTATATGATTAATCTAATATATAAGTATACTAATTTAATTTTCCTATTAACTGTTTTGAACTAACTTAGTTATCTCTAGAGTATTCAAGTTTAATCTATTACAAAAGTTTATTTTCTTATAAAAATCTTAATCTGCATATATAGATTTTTAGAATTTGTTAACAAAAATAACTTCAAGCTATATATTAAGATCTTAGATTTTTTTTAATTTAGTTAATACTAAGCTAAAAATAGTTAATACTTAGTATTAATTTATTGTCTATATTTCTGAATTTTCTAATACCAATATGACTTTTAATAAACATTACAATTATATTTATTCTGCTCTTCTGTTCTATTTTTACTATTTTATATGCAGAATATACTTTATTTTATTTTTTTTTTTTTTAACTTAGGCGATCTTGCCCTTCATTTTATTAAGAGAATTACATTATGCGTAATAAAGCAAATACAAAAAATTAAAAAGAAATACATCTATTCTAATCTTAAGACTGCTCTTTTTTTGCAATTCCGGACTCACTCAGCTGCCCTCAAGGTGTCCAAATGCGATCTGCAGCAGCAGCAATTTTCCTCTCAAAACAAGAGGCGCACTAATATACGCTACTCCTGTCTTGATCAAAAGAAGGCCACTCCCAGCCTACATTAAAAAAGCCTAATTATTTATTCTTAAACCTTAACCACTTATCATATTCTCCCTTTTCGATCTAATTTGTAACTTTGACTTTTGCTTTTTCCAAAATCCTTTTTTCTTTTTCTATACATGATTCCTCCTTTTCTAAACTTATATTCATAACATTCTCCTTATTTGCAAGGTTTCTTGAGTTCTGTCTCTTTACTTTCCTTTTTTTCTTTCGTTAGTTGATTCCTTTTTCTTTTTCCCAGTTAACTATTATTTCGCAATGAAACTTTCATAGCTTCTCATAGAAGTTTGACCAAAAGGAGTCTATAAATCAATTTACAACTTGGTTTGCTTTAGAACATGATTCTAGAAGTTCTTTTGCTTCAATAATGTGCTTTTTACTAGTCAATCCTCGGAGATGTAATTTTCTTCTTTGAATTTTGTCTTCTTGTTCAGTTCCTAAAAAAATCTTAGCTAGGTTTTCATTAGATATCGAAATGTCCCACCTTTCTAGAATCTTAAGACCTAGCTCCTCTATAATTATTACTTCTACATTTTTCCAAATATTTTAATAAACTATACACTCCGCAAGATGACTAAATGTTTCTTTAGTTGTGCAACAAGCTATACAGGTTTCACCTCTGTATAAATCAGGTCTTCGTTGGAAGCAGATATCACGAGTTGGCAGTAACTTGTTCATACACTTAATCCTAAACATCAGAGCTTTGCTTTTTTTCAGGCTCATACCTCTTCTGCTCTGATAACGTCTAAATACCTCCCATGTACCTTTCCAATTTATATCTTCACCTTCACTACTACTAGGTTTGGTATTAATTATGTCTTTAGAACTGCTCAATTCTGCTCATTCTGTACTATATGTTACAGCTGTTGCAATATTTATGAAGGCCTTGATCGAGCAGTCTATAATCTTGTCCTCCCATTTAAGTAGAACCCTAAGATTGTCTGTATTAACATCCTCTACTAAGAAGGATCTACTCGAGTTTAGGCTATCTTTTGCTAAAGTGTTAGCTATGTTATTCCACTAATTGTTGCTGTGCCCTTTAACTTTGATAAGGCTAAGGCTAATGCTCTTTGCTTTGCAGCACTTATGAATTTGATGTATCAAACTTCAGTTCTTGGTTTTGAATATCTCACGTATGTTCCAATCTAATCTCTCTTTTTGCAGTCCTTCAATCGCTGCCTTGCTGTCTGAGAAGATATTTAGCTTTGAATTGCAGGAGGCTGCTAGTACTGCTGTCCATATTGCACTGAGTTCAGCATGAGTTGAGGAGGGCCAATCTACTAAACTACTACTAAAACTGATATAATCTAAACTATTTGCTGCTCCATTAGCTACTACTCAGCCTATTCCTATTTTGCTACTCTCTATACTACCTATTTCTCTAGTTATAAGAGACCTATCTGTATAAATATCCAAATTATCCCTACCTTGAAGTTTCCTCGCAATATCTATAAGCTCTGTCTGGATATTTCTTTCCTTGATTACTCTTTGTATTATTGCTTCTTCAAAATTCGGTATTTTTATCTGAATATCCATTTGCATACTCACTTCGTCTATTGTATTAGGTACTATATACTCTAAGTAGACTGATACGGGTAGCCTTAGCTCAGCGATCTGTTCCTCTTTTCTTATTACTCCCTTCAGAATTTGATACTGCTTGCTT